AAAATAGCTCTGCTGCAATCTGTGACAGCACATGAGTCACTGTGAAGAATAAGGTTTGACATGTCTACAAAACCATTCCGCAATTCCAAAATTTCACCTCTAGTATCATCAGGGTTGACATTCCCCTGAGAGGTGTGAACCCCATTTACCTTGCAAAGTTATTCTCTTGGTCCCTCTGTGGTCCCAGGCAGAGCGCAGCTTGCTGGTATGTACTTGAGTTGACGTGACTGTCTTTGCAAACAAACCTACTAGAGACTTTTGACAGAAGCCTGGTTACTGGAGCATAACTATGCTGTGAATTAGCCTGCAATAGTGTAGCAATTCATGTAGCTGTGTTGTCACACTGTATATACAGAGCTTGGAAAGTGTCTCCTGTTTACTGCAATTGAAGCACTTATCCTTGTTTCGGCACTAAACTTAACAGCTGCTAAAAATAGAAGCTATCGAGATGTCACCCTTCACAGTGAGCAAAAGGAATGAGTTGCATGAGATAATGATCTCTCAGTCCTGCAGAGCACCTGAGCAGTTCTGGAACACTTTAAAAATGACTGCATTATGGTTGATTTTTTTCCCTTTTCCAGGTCCAGCCACGCTACTGGAAGACGTGACTGCCCTTCTCCTGGAGGTTCTTGCCCCACCAGCGAACTACGGCTCCCAGGAGCATTCCCTAGTCTACTTCCGCACTTTAAAATCAGCTAGTTTAGCCCAAACTAAATGAAGAGAGGTGGTGGATGAGCAGGTGAGATAGGAAGAAGGCAACCAAACAACAGCTATGTTAAGGAAAGAGAGGAGTAGGCAAAAAGGTAGCCCCTCTCCAAGTCACTGAAACTGTGGGACTGTCACTCTTGCTGTCAGAGATGGAAAGCCTTGAACACTTCCATTTCACACTTTTTACCTTCAGCTGCTCCATTTTATATTGTATGTGTAGTTGTATTTTAAGCGCTGCTGTTCGTGCGTGATAAGCTCAGCTTGGGCTTGAGAAGGAAGAGCTTCTGAGAACAAGAATTAAAAATGCTCTGAGAGAGGAAAAAATATAATTTTTAATCCACTCCTTCAGATGTGTATTTGGAAGTGGTAGACACATCTTCTGCTTTCACTTATGTGGAAGAGGAAGAGAATTTATGCAGTTTGTACTTTTTGCCCATGTTGGAGAGCTGGGATGTTATGAATCTAGGTCAGAAAATATTTATTTCATGTAAATCGTCTTCTGTACTTGTGTAACTTGTGGATTTGAATTAAACATGCATATGTGAAACCAGGTAGCTTGACCATGAATGATCACCATCTAGTGGCAACCCGTAAAATTCAGACTTTGACAACAATACAGAAAAGGACAATCTAAAATAGAAAACAGGTCAAAAGGCTGGTGGCACTGCTTCGAAAAGATGTATCTGATGGCTGAGCCTTTACCAAATAAAGTATTTTAAATATCCACAAGGGATGCTAAAACACTATGGTGTCGTCATTTGTCTTACGTAGGTGCAGTACCCACGCAGTGCTGCCTGTGTGCAGGCTGCCTGCAGGGCGCGGTGCTAACCATGGCGGGTGCCTGGGCTTTGCCGGCAGCGTGCTGTCTGCCGCCATCCAGCCACCTGCCCCAGGCTCCCCAGAGCCGTGGCAGCGCAGCGGGATGGGCTCTGGCACCGGGGATGCTCCTGGACACCACTTGTTTCCCTAGCACCAATGTTGCTGGCAATGCATGCCTAATTGCAGAGCCTCATGGCCAAAAGGGACCTCCAGAGGTCAGGTAGGCTTGTGTCCCTCTGGCTAAGCACCTGGCTAGCCTGCCTCTAGGGACAACCAGCGGTGGAGACTCCTCCTGTCCCTTCCAGTGCTGCATCACCCGTCCTGAGAGAAGGTCCATCCTGATATCCACCCTTGAGGGGTTTTAAGACCATTTGGTTTTCTGTCCAGTTCCTTCCCCTTTCATAGAATCATAGAATCATAGAATCATTAAGGTTGGAAAAGACCTCTAAGACCATCGAGTCCAACCGTCAACCCAACACCACCATGCCCACTAAACCATGTCCCTAAGCACCTCATCTACCCGTCTTTTAAATACTTCCAGGGATGGTGACTCAACCACTTCCCTGGGCAGCCTCTTCCAATGTTTAACCACTCTTTCAGTAAAGACATTTTTCCTCATGTCCAATCTAAACTTCCCCTGGCGCAACTTGAGGCCATTTCCTCTCGTCCTTTTGCCAGTTACTTGGGAGAAGAGACCAACACCCACCTCGCTACAGCCTCCTTTCAGGTAGTTGTAGACTACCTTTGGTTGTTTCTCTGCCATGCTCCTCTCATCTATGTCTTCCTTGAAGGGCAGCATGGTACTTCAGTTGAGAGGCTAACAAGGCTGCAAAGGGTGTAAGGGCTGCTACACAAATCTCGCACATTATATTCTTATTCATATACCTCAGCATGGCACCTGCCCTTTTTGCCACAACAGACACCGTCAGCCCACTGAAACTGTCGGCTCCTGTCCAGCCTGTGATTCACAGTAAGCACAGATCTTTCTCAGCTGAACTGCTACCTAATTTTTTTTCCCCTCCTTTTGTGTTTGCACAGTTCATTATTTCTATTTAAACATAGTACTTTGCACCTGTCACTGTCTAATAGCATCCTGTGCATTTTCCGACCATAGTTGCAATTTGTCAGCGTAATTTTGTCCTCTCAGCTTCATGTCATCTGCAAATATAATAACCAGACTTTATTTTATCATGCATTTTAGTGAAAACACTAAATATCCCTAAAACCAGGACAGACTGGTCAAATCCCCACTCAGTGGCTCCCGCTACTCTGATAGTGAATCACTAGTATCTGCACTCCAAGCGCAGCTCTGTAACCAGCAAAAATAGTTTCCTCCAGGCTGTTTCCTTAGCTTACACACAAGAGTGTCATCTCAGACAAAACTCCTTCTGAAGTCAAGATAGGTGACATCTTCTTCTATTCCTTCATGTACGAGCCTGTTAATTTGTTGTAGTAGGAAATAAGAATGATCTGGGGTTGTACATAGCTGATAGATCCATACTGGCTGGGACACACCTGTATTCATAGAATCATAGAATCATAGAATAGTCTGGGTTGGAAGGGACCTCTAAAGGTCATCAAGTCCAACCCCTCTGCTGTGGGCAGGGACATCTTCAACTAAATCAGGTTGCTCAGAGCCCCGTCCAACCTCACCTTGAATGTTTCCAGGGATGGGGCATCCACCACCTCTCTGGGCAACCTCTTCCAGTGTTTCACCACCCTCAGCATAAAATGGATGCGACCATCTAACCAATTCCTCTCCCACCGGGCAGTCCACTCATCAAATCCATACCTCTCCAGTTTAGAGAGAAGGATGTTGTGGGGGACTGTGTCAAAGGCCTTATAGAAGTCCAGATAGACGACATCTGTAGCCCTTCCCGTGTCCACTGATGTAGTCACCCCATCATAGAAGGCCACTAGGTTAGTCAGGCAGGACTTGCCCTTGGTGAAGCCATGCTGGCTGTCTCAAACCACCTCCCTGTCCTCATGTGCCTTAGCATAGCTTCCAGGAGGATCTGTTCCATGATCTTCCCAGGCACAGAGGTGAGACTGACTGGCCTGTAGTTCCCCGGGTCTTCCTTTTTTCCCTTTTTAAAAATGGGGGTTATGTTTCCCCTTTTCCAGTCAGTGGGAACTTCACCGGACTGCCACGACTTCTCAAATACGATGGATAGTGGCTTAGCAACTTCATCTACCAGTTCCTTCAGGACCCGTGGATGGATCTCGTCGGGTCCCATGGACTTGTGCGCCTTCAGGTGCCTTAGATGGTCTTGAACCTGATGTTCTCCCACAGTGGGCAGCTCTTCATTCTCC